AAAATAGTCTTGATTAAATATTCAAAATAAGATTTAGAAAGGTAATTTTACAATTTCGTTTTAATCGTGAAATTGTGAATAATGTAATTAAATAAATATATAAAAATGTAAAATTTAAAGTTAAAAATGTAAAAACACAAAATCTAAAAAAATATTTTTTTTGAGAAAAGTGACGTCTTTTAAAAAACACATGTCGCACGTCATGACACTACGACCTATTTTGTAATGGTAGAGATGCATCTTACGTCATATCGCACCATAATAATATACAAAAATCCGTCGAAACAAATTTAGAATATTTGATTATTGTTCTATAAAGCTTTTAAAATAGTTTATTACATAATTAGGAGTCGACCGTGTATGTTAAACGACTAAATGTAGGTGGGTTAGATCTAAAAGATTAATTAAGACAAGTTCTAATTATTTTTCATCAAAATTTTAATCATTCTAATCATTGCCAATGATTCATATATATGCTATTATATATTACCTCCTTTCATCCTATAAAATAAACAATTTTTATTTTTTTATTTTAAGTTGTTGAAAAAATTGTATTCTTTTCCTTGTTCTTGTAAAACCAGGCTTAGGTAAACTTTTGGTTTAAATTAAAAGAAAAATATCAACATCATCTTGATACATTATAATGTATGCATTTATCGTTAATAAATCAAAGATCGTATACTTTTGTTCCATGAATGGAATATTTTACAACTAAGTGCAAATTATCATCTAATTTGAAATCTGGAAGGAGGGTCAATCTAACTTGAGTCACATTGCTTTAAGTTCAGATTAGGCTTTTGAAAATCCTTATGTTTTCGGCAATGACAACCTTTTACTTTTAGGACACTAGTTGAAAGTCAATGATACATTTAGATACATAAAAGGGAAACTGAAAAAGGCTGGTATGAGAAGAATAATCGATGAATCAAAAAGTTACAAAAGTAAAGCCTTAAGGTATAGAACTATTTGAGAATGACACCGAAAGTTGTGCTCTGAAATTAGGTCATGAATAGAAAGAGATACATAAAACGTTGCTTATCTGCAAGTATTTAAGTAAAATTTTAAAAAAATCTTAAATTTTAACAAATACAATATTTATGAAGCATTGAGTAATGACTAATGCAATAAGAATTATAGTTTGATGAATTTTTTTTTACCTAAAAACATGTTCCACACTTGAAACAACAAAAGATGGAGTAGGATTTATGTAAATATAAAAGAAGTCGAACACTTTGGTTTTAAATTGTCCAATCAGACATATTTTAACTACTAGAATGATACTCACACAATGCAACGATATACATCTCGATTTCAATGTTGTGTTTTTTTTTGTTTCAATCGATGTTATAATACGATTTTATATGGTTTTAAGAAAACGATAATGCTTATTTTTAAAATAAGATATAAATATGAAGATACCATAAAAAATTGAAAATAAATACTGATATCAATACTAAACTAACTATTTTAATTTTTTTTGTATTTCTTTAATTATTTTTTTTACTTTTTGTTTAATAATATTTTTTTATAAAGATAATAATTAAATATTTTTATTATTCTAATTATATTTTAAATTTTTTATATTTAAAATGAGATGTTTATCCTCTCGATTATGTTTATCTGCAGTTAGTTACACGAATTCAAAACATAAAGCTTTAATAAGTTGTAATTACGTGCAATTTACTTGTAATATTGAATTTTAAATAATATGCATCAATAAACAGTACTTCATGCATAAAAATGATTTTTTAGAGTTTTTGTCAAATGCTTTATAATATACTGTAGATGTAGAAGAGTGCATTATGCTGGCCGGTGGTGCCTGATGTTTGCTCAAATTTTGGATTTGATCCCTAAAACATCCACAACTTTTCATTTTCATAACATCCATGATATTCAAGTTAACAACGTTAAGTAGTTGCCGTTAAGTCTGTTCATGTGCCCCTCACGTGAGAGGTACACCAATCAATTTACCCATTATTTTCCATCCCTACCTTCGGCTTTCCAGATTCAAACTTCATCTTCCACAATCAAGAACCCTAATTTGTTATATAAACCAATGTTCAAATAGATTTATACACAAATTTATGAACATCAAACCCTAAATGAGGAAACGATTAATGCAAAACCTAGAATCAAACCCAGAAAATGATTGAAAAAACAGAAGTTGCACATATGAAATCAGATAAATCGATACATACATACATACATCTAAAATCTGATACATACATACATACATACATACATACATACATACATACATACATACATACATACATATATATATATATATATATATATAGAGGTTGGTTCAAATAGAAACCAACCATATGGTGCAAACTAAACTAACCAACCTTAACCAATCACATTCTTTCTTCACTTTAGGTTCAAATCTAAATTATAAATTAATGATAAGGGTAATTTTGTAATTTAACCTTTTTGTAACTCCCTAATAATTAATTGGGAGTTACAAATCTTAAAAGATACCTCTAATTGATCATGAAATTTCTGATTTCTTTATTATTTCATGTTCATGTTCTTCTTTTCAAGTTATGTTCTACATATATTGAAATTGGTTGTCTAAGTGTACAAGATTTTCGTTTCGTCCAAGATACATGGAGAATCCTATTGTAAAATAATATCAGAATAATGAAAACGATAAACGCTTGCAGTCTATGTTCATATCTGCACACATRCACAACGATCCTTGATTTTGAAAATGTTCATATATGTGCATCTCTTGCAGTCTATATTCATATATGTTCACCATATGAACAACTTGTTTTCATTTAAAGACACAATCGTTGTTCACACGAACCCGTGATGATGTCATACGGTATGACATTGAAAAACATCACACCATATGAACATAGTGTTTACATTGTAAGACACAGATGCTGTTCACACGAACATAGGGCCGACATGTGAACATATGAACATAGTGTTTACATTGCAAGACACAGATGCTGTTCACACGAGCATAGG